TACCTGAAGGTCCCCCAAGCCTATGGCAAACGCTTTAAAGGCGTAAGGCCTCCTAAACTCAGCGATACCAACCTCCGACTCATGTTCCGCGAGGTCTCGAAAACGGGTTTGTCGTCGTCCAAGATCGTTGCTCAATTTGACCTACCCATCCCCTCTCGTGCCGTACGATACAAGTTGTCCTCCAACACGATTTTCAAGTTTGTGAAGCGCAACTCGGCGTCAGCGCTCACTGAGAAGCACAAGAATGTGAGGCTGAATTTCGCTTTGGGGCATCTCCGCAAACCACCCCAGTGGGACAAGATCATTTGGTCCGACGAGAAGAAATCAATCTCGACGGTCCAGATGGACTTCAGTGCTACTGGAGAGACTTGCGGCACGACCACGAGACGTACATGTCACGCAAATTTGATGGCAAAAGTTTGATGATTTGGGGGGCGTTTTCGTCGTCCGGTGTGAGCGAGCTAGCGTTCCTGGAAGGCAATCAAGACGCCGACAATTCTACGCCGACGAGATCTTGTTTCAACAAGATAACACCTCCATCCATCGTGCGAAGACCACAATGGAATTTTTTAAGGAGCAGAAAGTCACCGTTTTCGATCACCCTGCACTGTCCCCTGACCTCAATCCGATTGAGAATCTCTGGGGACGGATTGTACGTATCGTTTACAGCAATGGCAAGCAATATGACAACGTTGTGGACCTCAAGGCTGCGATCAAGCGTGCGTGGCCGGAAATCGACGATTTGACGATAAAAAACTTGGTGGATTCGATGCCACGCCGGTGCACGAGTGTCATTGCGATGGGTGGGGGCATGACCAAGTATTAGTCCAACTCGATTGAAGTTTTTGATTTCGTAATAATAAATTTTACATCGTTGTACTACAGTATTCTTTCTTTCATGTGCAAATATCAATTTTGTCGATTAATGGAAAAAATTTAGTTTGTACCAATTTACAGTTAAGATACTACTCTGGTTGTACAATACAGTGCTGGAAAAAACGTTAGCACATGAGATTTTTTTGGGTTTACTCAATCTGCACGAACATCTAGCTCTCAAGAATCATTCACAATACTTAAAATGACATTACACTAACGTTACAATTGAAGTCAATCTCGAAGTCATACTTTTTACGTTAACGTGATCGACCATTGATCGGCCAAATTTTCAAAATTTTCAAACTAAAATATCTCATTTGGTTTTCATGGCATTTCATTGAAACCAACATTTCCGGAAAGCTGACGGAAAGCTCTTTCGCGACATATTCAAATGTATCGATTTAAACAATACTTGGCAGGCCAAAAAAAAAGTCAAAGTTCGGCACTTTACACAGTCGACCA